TTTCTGAAGAACTAATTTCTACCATAAAAAATCTATGCTCTTCAATGTACAAAGATAGCATGTTACTACTACATTCTCAAATCAGTATAATACTTTGATTTTCAAATAAGTATAATACTTTGAAAATTAAAATGGTCAAATTTCAGGAATTATGCAATAATGCTGTACTTAACACTATTACAAATATGCCATGCCACAAATTAACCACTCTCTTCATAAAGTCCTTCATCATTTAACTGAGTTAATAATTCTTAATGATGGTCATGGCCTTGGCAATTTATTGGAGGAAGGTCTAGAAGTAAACAACAAAGATATTAGAAGCTATTTAAAACTTTTCTCTCAAAAGATATCACGTCTAGAACAACTTACAGATGTGATGAGTCATCTTTTAGAGAGATTAGATCTTTGTCTTTTAAACCAAATTATTTATTTGCATCCTCCAAAGTTATGCCAAGATTGTAGTTCAAATGAGCACACAAGCAGATCTTATAAGAGTATATTTTTAAAACCAAAGAGATATTTTGATGATATTTTTGAAAATGCTATTTATGATTAATTATAAAGTTGTTAACATTTTTTACTGTTTTAACTTTTTATCTTCAAATATATGTTGCAAGTTCAAATCATTGGAACTTTTCTTATAATTTTATTATGCTAACATTATTATGATCATATTATCTTCAAGTTGTAAATATAATCTTTTCTTGAAATAAATATTGATTTGAGTTTACAAAAAACTAATAGTACAATATTTTGGAATATTCTATTGAATGATTTCAGGTAACGTAAAGGGTAGAGTTAGCTTCTGGTTTATTTGCATCATTACAAAGGTGGCAGATAAATTTTTGTAGATATGTGTTTAAATACATTGTTGATTTTGGAGACCTGGTATTAAATCTGAAAGTGGAATGTGAGTAATTCTTTTTATGTAGATTAAGTGTGATTGGATGGTTAGGTTTATTTAAAATTTGTTTAAGTGCGCCGAGAATACGAAATCAAGATGTTCCCTAATAGTAAGGATACCATAGTAGCTTGCATCATATGGATCAATACCAACAGCTTTTAGAAGGCGGTTTTGAAAGACTTGCATCCTAGATTTAGTTTTATTGGTCATTGAGTTGAAGATAACTGCATTCTCAGTAAAGTGGCTAATGCAATAAGCACGGTAGGCAGATATAAGCATGAGTTGAGAGCATCCACCAAATATTCAGAGCTGCTTAAAAAGATACTTATTAGGGGCAATTTTCTTATGTAGACTAGACCATTGCTTGTCAAAATTGAGACTTGAGTTGAGGTTGATTCCAAGGTATTTGTTTGAGTTTACAACTTCAAGAATTTCACTTTTTAATGTTATGACTGGCTTTTCACCTTTGCCAATATAAATATGTTTACAGTTTGAAAGCTACTTTGCAATCCAGGATGATAACCATGATGGGAGGTTGATTTCAATTTTGTGCATAAGGATAATGTGGTCAATGAGGTCAAATGCTTTTGAAAAATCAAAGAATATAAAAGTTAATGAGGTATTGCGGTCAATAGCATATCCCCAGTCATGAATTACTTGACGAAAACCAAATCAGCTATTTGATAATAATTTATCTTGAACATACGATATAATATGTTTTGCAAGGATGCGTTCATTTATTTTGCATGTTGCAGATGTTATAGATATCAGTTGGTAGTCATATGGTAGAGAAGGATTATTGACTTTTGGAATAGGTATGAGGTTTGCATAAAGCCATTCAGATGGTACAATGTATTTGTTGATACAATGGTTAAAAATTATAACAAGGGCTTTGACTAGTTCAAGACATGCCACATAGAGTAGGTTGCCAATTTAGTATATAAGCGGCAGCCATTAGTACACATGTGGTAATCTATATGGGCGAGTTCTAGCAATAACTATTTCAAAGTTTCCATAGGAGATAGCTCCTGGGTGGTATTTGTGTAGTTAGGATTGACTATTATCATAACTCCACCTCCTCTTTTGGGTATTCCTTTTTTAGAGAAGCAGTTGCGTTTACAAGGCGTTATTAAGTACTTGGTACATTCTTGGATACGACTGATTACAATGTTGCAAGTAGTGGAGGTAAGCCATGTTTCAGTAAGAAATCCAATATGAGCGTTTGTATCTTCATATATTTGAATGAGGTGATCTACCTTAGGATCAATAGAGTGTGTGTAGGTCGTGAGTTTATTTGGCAATTGCATTGTGATCATTAGGCTATTATTTGGTCTAAAAGCGGTGGCTAAAGGATTTAAATTGATGTTACAAGGGATTTGTAAATCTTTTATTCAATTAGGAGAACTAGCTATTTGCTGATGATATGTAGGAGGTAGGTCAGGGGTAGCCAGACCTTTCAGGATACGGGCAAAAAAAAGTTAAAAAACAATTTTGCGGGCAAAAAATATTTATTTCTATAAAAATATATAATTAATTGTATCAAAGCAATATAATTATTAGGAGTGGTGATTTTGACCATCTGAAACTAGTTTTTTGATGTCTGGACTAATTTTTGAGGCAGATAGAAGTATCACATTACCAAGATGGTTGTCTCCTAAATATCCAAATTGTTAAATGCATTTAAAAAAATTTTGTGGGCCTTTTTTTGTCTGCGGACTGTGGTTTGGCCACCACTGAGGTAGATGAACAGTTGGAGTTTGCCTGATTAGTCTAAATGGCTTTGGTAGATTTGATACTTCTGTGATACTCTGATAGGATGTAGGATAGATCAGAGTTTGAGACGGAGCATCTCTGTTCGACTCTGGAAAGAATGACATTGATGCAACATATGGCTTTAGTGCGTTTGTGGATGACATTCTGAAACGGCTTATCTAGGATATCAGCTTCTTTCAATTGATCATTACGCTTTTTTAACTTTGCCCTTAGATTAATAAACTCTGATTGTTGAGCTGAAGTTCTATCTTCATGGGTAAAAACCCCTTTGAATAAAGCTGCTTCATGGTAACTGCAGCTTTTGAATACAATATCTTGATCTAATTCATTTTCAAGAGTAACCTTAACAAGAATCTGCAGCAGTTATGTCATTCTTAGTTGAAGTGATTCGTTTGACATAATTGACCTTGATAGATTCTAAATTACAAGCTTTGAAAAACTCAGAGACATTTGATATATCATCATCATTTGATGATTTGGACATGCGAACAATAATAACATTGGATGTACGTGTTTTTCTGTCATCAATATCTGCTGCAACAAGATTAATGAGATGGTGATACAAATGTGCAGTTTTTTGCGAGCTTGATTTAATAGCTTCAGAATAAAACTTAGTTTTAACTGGTACATTACTACATTTTAATAACTTTTCTGCATCTAAGGAATGTACTCTTGTAATAAGAGATGAAACCAGCAATGTTATTTTTCCACACTAAGAATGTGATGCTCTAACTAATTCGCTATGGTTTCCTGACCCAAGTTTGAAGGATTTCCATATCTTCAATAATTTCTGTAGAGAGAGCTACTACTCTTAATAACAGTGGGTTATCTCTGGTACTGAACTTTTAATATATATATTAACCTTGTTAACACTTATTACACAGGAACTTAAATGTTCCAGTATGTGTTTTTTTTTTTTTGTAGTTCCAAAAGTTCCAAAACCTTGGTGGCTATCAAGTGTATGAGTTCTTCAAAAATGTCTTTAAATAAGTACTAGGTACTTCCCTTTCCTTTGTTTCCTTGAGTAATCAAGTGTTGGACGAGGAAAGGATCAAATTTTGGTAATAGCTCAATACATCTAATAAAGTTTCTGTTGCGTATCAATACTAGTTTTTCGATTCCTGAATGATAATTGTCTGAGAATGAACAATAAATAAAATATCCGATTATTTTCAATATTTAAAAATGTTTAAGCAGCATTACTACGTGATATCAGGTGATAAGTGTGATTTTAGTATTTATAACTTTTTAATTAATTTAAATTTATGTGTTTAAATTTTTTAAATATTACCCACAAACCTGGAAGAGAGATAAGAACAAGAGAACAAGCTCTATGATGAACAATTGAAATTATCAATTGTTCATCATAGAGCTTGGGTCCAATACTCTTTTTCAGTCTGGTTTTGCTTGGTAAACTTTAAATCTACCCTTCCCTTTACTGCAACAATGACATGAGAGTGCTCTATAATCTGCTCATGTTCACTAAGGAAGGATTTGGCATGTTACCAGTTCCAGAATACTCTTTTTTCACATCAAGGTACACAGTACATGCTTCCGTTTTCTTTTGAAAATTAAAGTCAATTGCGTAATACTTTTCTTCCTTCTTAGCATCAGACAGCACCTTTTTACATCTACATTGCATAAATTGCATTTCTTGCAATAATAAGTAGCTGTCTTTTCTTTAGAGAGTTGACCACCTAAAACTGAGAGCAAGGAGAGTTTAAACACAAGCATAGGAAAAATATTCCATCTAACAAATTTAGTTGAGCGTATATTTATAGTTAGAGTAACTAGTTAGCAAATGAGTTCACTCTGCATCAAAACAGTTTTAAACATTTCAACAGAACATTTAACTTACAGGTGAATGAACACTTTTTGAATGAAATTTTTTAATTAAAAATAATTTAAGCAAATATCCAAATTTAGCTTATTTTTACCATATATAAATATGTATTTGACCACAACCCTGTTAGTTAGCAATCAAAAAATGTGTGTTTTTTAATATACTGTTTTATACATATATTCAACGATTTTAAGTCAGTCTTAAAAATATTTTTAAATTGTATTTCACGGGTTGTCAATTTCTCTTATTATTGTGGTTTTCTCCTGTTTATATACAAAAACTGTATGGTAAAAAAAAAAAACATTAATTTTTTTTTAATAAAATTAATTTTTTATTACATTTTTTATTTATGTTTTTCACACTTTTTTTGACATTTTTTCTTTAAATTCTGAAAGGTCATTTCATAGTTAAACATCTGTTGTGATTAGCCTTTTAAACAAAAATAAAATTACTGCTAGTTTAATTTAATCTTTAATTTAGAATCAGAAGAAAATGAATTTAAGGAGATAGTTGATTACATTGAGGAACTGCACTTTCACAATTGTATGTTTGTTTCATTTTTTTAGAATATTAATGAGATCTTCGTAGGTTATAAGTAAACAATTTTTTGAAAACATTATTATTTTTACTTTTGAACCATATGAACTCGTTATAGCATTGTATTATTTTTATGATATTCATTTTTAGTGGAGCAGTGAATCATAAATTAGTCTCTCTGTTTTGATTATATAAATTATATGAATATGATATGATTTTTTTGATTATATTGTGCATACAAATTTAGAGAGTTCTCCCTATTTGTTTTATAAAGTTATATATTTTTACTGTTTGTTTTTAGCATTAGAAAGTTTCCAGCAATTCTTCAAAAGTTGGCTCGTAGATTATCTACCTGATGATGTTCAATTATACATTGATTTTGATCTTCATAAAGAAAATGGTTTTGAATTAATTATAAACTTTTATTTCTAATTTTGTTTAGTTATTGACAATTTTTGTTATTAAAATTGCAGTTTTGCAAATAATGATTTTTTACTTTTAAAAAGTTATTAACAAACAAAAAGGATTGCTTGTTGAAAAGAAAAAAAAACTCAAACTAATTACTTTACCAGCGCTTTTTTTGTTGTTGTGACAAACAAAGATTAAAGTTTCCAAGTATCATTTATTAAAAAAATATATATCATTGTGCTTTCACTTGCCTTAAGGCAAAAAAGTTAAATGTACACTTTATGAATATTTTTGATGCAGTGTTATAAGTGTAGTGGTGTTAATGCGGTAGTGGTGTAGTGGTAGAGCGCTCGCTACATAAACGAGTGGTTCCGAGTTCGATCCCCACCACGTCCCTGGTAGTACCGTGCTCAACTCGTTTCTCCTCGCAGCAACCTTGTTCATCAAGGTTTGTGTTTCGGAGTTATAGAGTTGAGAGAGGGTTATAACCACAAATAAGTAGCCTCCTTATCTGTAGTGGCCTTCTTGGCCTTGAGGAGGTGAATTAAATAAAAAAAAAATTAAAAAAAAAGTTAAAACATGTTTTCAAGGCATTTATTTCATTTTTTTGACAAAATCAATCATTATAACAAAACAAAAAATTAAAATATCAAAAGTAATGTTAATATTAAAATAAAATTTAATGTGTACTATTTTTTAGCTAATAATTTTTTGTTTTGTTTTTCAATTTTTTTTTTAATTTTGTAATTATCTTTGTTATTGTTTGTTATAAGAAATTATCTAAATATTCTTGCTATTGCTTGGTGATAAATGAAAGTTTTTTTAATGCTTCTTTTATGATTTCTTTTTTTTAAGCGTTGTATGACATCTTTTTTTTTTCTTTTGCTGAACATTTTTGATGGAAAAGTTAGAATGATAAAAATAAAATTTTCTTAATTTTTTCTTAACTTATTGAATTTGTAAATAGCGTAAATATCAAACATAATTTCTATGCAAACTTTTTTTACATAATCTTCATTCAAACTTCATAAGCAGTTTTTATAACGTTATTACTTCTTTTATTTTATAACTTAAACGATATCTTTAGACTTGTATTATTGACTAAATATTAAAAAATAATAAAAAATGGCTTGACTGAAATGGCTTATCGCTTACATTAAATGTCTTTGTATGTACATTTAATGTAAGTGATATGTACATTTAATGTAAGTGATATGTGCATGGTCATTTTTAATTTTATCATTGCTAGGTCAGTTTTAGGTTTTAAAAAAAAATTATTTTGAAGACTGGAAAACGTTTTAAAAAAAGAGTCTGCCTGCCCTAACCAAACCCTTAGTCAATGTAGCGGTACTCTGTTGCGAGTCAGGCTATAAGATAGTCGATGTAGCAGCACTCCCTTGTAGCAGCAGATTATAAGATAGTCAATGTAGCAGCACTCCTTTGTAACAGCAGGCTATAAGATAGTTAATGTAGCAGCACATATTTGTTGCAGCAGGCTGTAAGATAGTCAATGTAGCAATACTTTGTGCATGTTTTAGAGTAAAAAAATAAAAATAAAAACATTCAGAATGTTTTTAAAAACAATCTAGTCTTTTAATTTGTGTTTTTGTGGTTTTTTAAAAAAACATTAAATTTAATTAGTTTTCTCAATTAAATTAATGTGTTTTGTTAAAATCTAACCTTAATTTTGTCATTTTAAAAACCATAGACAAGCTACGAGCTGTTTTTGACAACAAACTGTATATTCAAGGCCTTTACTATAGGTATATATATATTTATATATATATATATATATATATATATATATATATATATATATATATATATATATATATATATAGAGAGAGAGAGAGAGAGAGAGAGAGAGAGAGTTGTTAGTCCTTGGCCTGGCCAAGATACTTAAAACATGATACTTAAAAAAGTTAAAGTAAAAAAATAAAAGTAAAAGCGCAAATATTAGAACATTTTAAACCACTTTAATTTGTTATAAAAAATTATTTAATATGTTCATGCTAATCATAAAACATATGTTATTTTTAAAGAGTATTGAATTGTTATTGTAAAAAACAATGTTAAAACAAACTGAAAAGTTGTTTTGATATTATAAAGAGCTTGCATTAATGTAAAACAACTTTGTGTTTTTTGCTGTTTTATACAGTTTATAACATTAACAAAAAATATGTTTAAAATAAAACGAAGAATTGTTCTAATTAATAAATTAAAACATAATTTTTTAATGATGCTAATGTATTATCATCATCATTAAAACATTATATTTATTAACTTTGTATTTGCGCAAAAACATGCCTATAAACCATATGAGTCTATAATCTATAGACCAAACGAGTAAATCAAAGCAAAAAGCATTAGATACCACGTTTTTTTATAATTTAAGCTGATCTTTTCATTAAATTATTTTATTCAAATTGTTTTGCAATAAAAAGTAAAAGAACAAAATTTGGTCTAATAAATCGAATTATATTTCCTTATGTTTAAGTATACGCATTAAGTATATGCTTAAATTATTTTTTTAGAAAAAAAATTCTATGAACAGGAGTAAAATAGTTCATTTATTTTTATTTTAATTTTATTTTTATTTTAACTTTTGCAGCTTTTTACTGGTTTAATGTTTGCAATGGAATGTTTTTACTTTTAAAACTTTTTTCAAGAAACAAAATATAATTAACTATTCAAAACGTTTACGATTTAAATAGAACTTTCTTTCTCAATTGCACTATGTTCAAAATCTGATAGTTACTGTAGCATGATATATGTTTAAATTTCAGCAACGATTCTCGCTATGCTGGGTATTACAGGCTGGGTATTAAGGACACCACTGAATTAAATTATTGAGGGCTAGAATTCTTTTAAATTTTTCTAATTTTTTTTATTTATTATTTCAATTGAAAATTTAGTTGAATAAGAGAATTTTAGAAGACTAAAATTCTTTTGTTCAAATAGATTTCTTTCTAAATAAAATTCCTAAAAACAACTTGCGTATGTTTGATCTTGATATCGCTTTAAATGAAATATAAAAAAATGGTATGAGCCAGTGTAATAAAAAAATATGGAGAACTATCACAGATTAGTCAACAGCTATGCTTTGCTCACGGTATTCAGCATTTTTCAGTTTTATTTAATACTTCAGCATTAATTTGTATGCGGAGACAGTTAGTTAAGAAAGTTTATGATGACATTGAAAATTTGGAAAATGAATCTGAATTTAGTGAAAGCTGTGAATCAAATAGCGAGAATGGTGGTGTTGAGAGTTGCTTTATAGTGGCTAATCAAATAATTAAAGACCTAATAATTACAAAGCAATTGGTCCTGTGATTTATAAAGTTAGAAAAATCGTGATTTTATTTTAATTTTAAAAGATCACTAACTAAAAATGATGACTGTCTGCAAAAATACATAAAAAATGACTTCGGAAAAAACCTTCATTTAATCAAAAATTTTAAACAAGATGGAGCAGCTTACTATCAATGCTTAAAAGGTTTTATAAGTTAAAAAATTGCATAAAAAAGGTGCTTGTTGATATCAGTAATGATTCTATAAAAATGTCAGATAATGAGTATGAAATTGTTTCTGAACTAGTGAACATGCTAATTTTTATGTCCAATAAAAGCAGCAGAGGAAGCGCTTTGTTGACGCGATACAAACCTTAAAACTGCTGATATTGCATTAGAGCTTATGCTAACTAAATTAAAAGAACTAAATACTACAACAAGTTGTCAACTTTTTAATGCATTAGCCTCCAGAATAAAAGAGCAAAGGACTGGATTAAGTAGTCTACTGCACTATCTATATTACGGAAAAAACAAATTAATGCCCATAGGTAAAGTTTTTAAAATATCTTCAAACTTTAAAAAAAAATAATGTTGAAGCTTCTAAAGAGATTAAATGTAACAAATTTAAATCACCCTACAAATTCCTTGGACGAAGAAGATTTAAGATTTAATAAGTGAAGAAGATGATTAAATACTTAAAAATGATAAAAAAGATAATGAATGCAGAAAACTATCAGTGCGCAAATAAATGAAGCCGTAGAAAAAAGTTTTATAGCAATACCCAGAAGTTCTTTGTCAAGATCATCAAAAGAAATCTCATTGTTTGAAAGTGATTGAACTTGGGTTGCTTCAGAAAGTTTATGATTTTTCAATGACGATTTAGCCAATGAGTGAAGAGTCAAAAAGGACATTTTCCTCCGCAGGACTATTCTGCAATAAAATAAGAAGTTGTTTAAGTGATAATAGTTTGATAGTTTGAGCTTTCTCCAAGAATATTTTCCAAAGATAACTTTATGTACAAGTTTTATTAATTTTACTGCAATATACTTAATTAAGTTTATTTATTAACTAACTTTTATTTTAGTTTTAATGCATAAAATAGTACCAGGATTTCCATGTCACATGATAAAGCTGCAATATTTATCCTCAAAAATATTACCAAAATATTTCACAACCAAACATTTTAGAACCGAAAAGTACACTTTCATTGCAGGATCGAATTACTAAATCCATTCTTGTGCAGAAAGTTTTAGAAATAAATTTTACAACCGAAAAAATTTGGATCAAATTACAAAATCCTTTCTTGTGCCAAAAGTTGTAGAACTGAATTTTACAACCAAAAAAAGTTTTTAAAGTTAGTCATTTTACAATAAAATAAACAATTAAAATTACTTTAAAAATATATATATATATAATGTGTAGTAACAGTGTGAACTAGATTTCCGAAAGAAGATCACTAAGATCAGTGGTGTAGAAAGGTTTTTAAATGTTTGAAATAACCAACTTATAATCAACAAGAATATTCCAAATTTTTTTACGTTCATATGTATGACAAAAAGATTCTTTAAAAAAAAAAAATTACTGTGATAGGAGAATGGGTACAAGAAACCCTAAAGTCTAAAATTATTTATGATTTTCCATCAAAAATTCGATCTAAATTTTTTCGGTTCTAAAATCATTTATGACTTTCAATCTAAATTTT